CAAGCCTCACACTGAAACGCTGACATAGCTGCTCTCCGGTTGCCTCCCTCCCCCAGACCATGATCTTGTAAATAATTCTTAACCACCCAACCAATTCCTGCTCTACCTGTGGTTTTATCCCATGAACCATCTATTTCCACAATGAAGTTGTCAAACCCTGTTTTTTCCGTTCCCAGCTGGGTGTAGTTGAAACCTGGCGGGGTATCTGTATCATACTCACTCGACTCCTCCAGCCTCTCATTAGAGCTATCCCGAATGATGAAAGTCTCATGATCCTTGATAGCAAGGTTTATACCTTCTAAAACACCATTTAGGGTTCCTTCTTCTCCTCCGAACACCCTCTCATTCCTAGATTTCCACAAACTCCAGAGGGTAGCAATGAACAACACAATTCTACTAGTAATCTTACCATCCTCGCTATGAAAGAGCAGGATATAGTGTTGAATCCATTTTTGCAGTGAAATGGATTCTGAAAGATCATGGTGGATGTTCAGGAGACTGTTCTCCCATACATCCTTTGCCTGACTGCACAACCAAAAAAGATGTTTACTATCTTCATCGGCCACCCTACAGTGATCACATTCCGTATTAATAGTTATCCCCCTTCTAGCTAAGTTTACTTTAACAACAATGCTATCATGAAAGACTTTCCACATGAACACTTTCCATTTGGGTTGGATCCTCATTCTCCATATTAGTTTAATGAAAAGTTGATCCTTCTTCGAGAAACTCTCACTATCCATCCCCAGGTCCTTTGATAAGAAGTAGTATCAAGTTTTTACCGTATACTTACTAGACGGATGGTAATTCCAGTAGAGGAAGTCGTCCTCATTAGCCTGTGGCAGTTCCATTGAAAGTATAACATTTGCATAATCCCATTCAAAACATTCTCTCACTTTTCCTGCCTTCTAAGAGTTAGTGTCAATATCAATGAAGTCGCTTACCTTCCAATGTAACACCCCCAAATCTCCCTCTACGTAAATACTATATCTATACGTATAAACTACCGTAGAGATAGACTTGGGCGTATTACCGTCACGTGAAAACGTAAGGCTTTTTAACTACTAATGATGACAGCGGAAAAATAACTGATTTTATTAATAATGCAATAACCACATTATATAGTTTGAAAAATAAATAATACTCCAAATAATACATGTCTAACTCATGAATGAAGAAACTCCTAACTAAGTGATCCCAATCCCGACTCAAGCATACGCACGATCAACTTTACACCTGAAATCAAAACTGCTTACCAATAACGGTAAACAGGGCGAACCAAGACAAAAAGGAAAACGGGTTAGCAAAAACGCTAAGTACGTATAAGTGCAAGGCATGTAAATATTTTTATTAGACAAAGATGCTTCCGAAATACTTATTCCAATTTAAACCTGCCAAAGGGCACTTTCATAATTTAGACTTTCCAAATTTAAACCTTCCAAAAGTAGTAACGTCCATTAATAGAAACTTTCCCAACCAATAAAATTCCAACTTTAGAAAAATTTTCAAAATCAATTTTCCTCACCTAAGTGTGCACACCCCCAAGCAAGTTAAACTGTACTCGAGGAAAGACCAGATCATACAAAGCTCATGGTCTTACTTAACCAGTCCCGGGTAGAGGGACAATAAAATATTAAATACTCAGGCCCATAATGAGCTGCAAATTTTAAATAAATTCCTTTACTTCAATAACATGTAATCGAGTGATTTATAAACAACCTTTATTAATTTAAGCAACACTTTTAAAGATCAAACCTTTAAGTCATAAAAATTATATTTTTAACTCATCGTAATATTTAACAATTATTGAAATAAAACACGCAATCAATATTTTGCATCAAGGACCTAGCCACCTATACGTACCTTGATCACGATGACAATTAAGGTACGACTACTACACTTGACCACGATCAGAGGAATCCTCCTACACAATTAAAATAACCTTAATTAACATAAGGTTAACAAAATAAACACAAACTATAAAGAATACCTTATTTGTGCATGAATTACCAAACCCATAACCTTTTAAAACAAAAATTATTTTACTAAAACCATAAGCTTATAGTAACATCATGTTAGTAGTATCATAGTATTAGAGTTAGTATTAGGATCATACATATATTATGTAGTACGATGTTGCAAAACAAGGAAAATAGGGGAGTATATAGTACGTAGTATGGTTTTGCAAAACAAGGAGAATAGGGGAATGTATAGTACGTAGTATGGTATTGCAAAACAAGGAGTAGTGCATGCAAACTGCGGCAAAGACGAGAAGAGGGTTACCACACCTCCAAGCAGCAACAGTAGGCGGCAAAGAGGATGGACAGCAAGAGCAGTGGTGGGCTGCTGGCGTTAGGGGCAGCAAGGGATGCGTGTTTGTTAGGCAGTTTCTGGCTCGGTTGTTTGCTACGTGAAAGGAAGAGGAAGCAAAGTAAGTAAGAGGGGAATGTGATTAACCGTGGGTTTAAGAGAATAAGAGAAGAGAATTTCTGGTTTTGGTGTGAGTAATTGAGGAGGATTAAGGGTCTATTTATAGTGTTTAGAGGGTGGAAAAGATAGAGTTCAAGAGAGTGTAGAATTAAGATAAGTTTGGTTAGTTAAGTGAACTTGAATGTAATTTAGTCTAGGTTAATTTATGAGGGAAATTGAATGAAAAGATGAGGAGATAAATAGGATAAGTGTTGATTGGTTGAAGTAAAGATTGAAATCAAAATTATCTTAAGAAAATAAAAATACTACCATTTGATATTAATCCTCAATTGTACGTGGAAACCTCTTTTTTTTTATTATAATTATTATTTTTTTTTTAATTAAAACTAACGAAAATTAATAATTAATTAGGAAAATAGTTAAATATGATATTTAAATCAAGTTTATCCTTAAAATATTTTAGATAATATTAAATCTAAATTGGTTGTAAATCATAATATAATTAGGCTAAGGTTATTAATTATTATTAAGATAAAAATCGGAAAATAATAAATTTAGTTCAAAACGACGTACATTATTAATTAATAAAATGTGGACCGACCAAGATTATCATTTAATTTAGAAATATGAAAATATTTAATTTGTTAAAAAGATTTTTGGCGCCAAAATTTAAAATTTATTTTGGCTCCAAAGTGAAGAAATTATTAAATTATTAAGAAAGTATATCCTTAAAATTAGAGGTATTACATCCAATCCATAGCAGCCCCAATAGATTGGTCAGACTTTACCACATGAATCTCCCCTCTATCCCATGGCGAGTTGATAGCCGAGATGAGATTACCATTTCCTACTTTCCATGTAAAGCCCTCCCTGTAAATGTCACTAACCTTTTGGATGCTCGATCTTCCCAAAGACGGATTTCCCTGTTTCCCACAAGCCCTATTTGTATCCCACGGGCTCCTTAGCTTAAATCCTTTAAAGACTCTAGAAAGAAGGAGCTGGGGGTTGAAGTGCATCCTGGTTGTTTGTTTGAATAGTAGAGCATTATTGTAGGTAGAGGTTCCCCTGATTCCCAGTCCCCCCATGCTTTTAGGGAGGTGTGTAATACCCTTCCTCACCCAGTGTAACCCTTTCAGGCCATTCTTGGCCCACCAAAATCGGGTAATCATAGAATCAATCTTGTTAGCAATGCTTTGAGGTAATTTAAGGCACTTCATAACATGAGCCGACATGCTTACCAGGACCGTGTTAATGAGGATTAATTTTTCCGGCTGAGAAAGCTGGATAGAAGCCCAGGCTGTTATTTTATCCACAACTTTATCCACTAGGTACTGGAAATGCGGACCCTTCCTTCCTTTAATATCAATCGGAACTCCGAGGTGGATACCCATGTTATCAGTTTCAGGCATTAACAATGCTTGTTTTACCTCCAGTTTTTTATTATTTTCCACCCCTGGGGAAAATTTGATCATAGACTTCAGGAGGTTAAGTTGTTGGCCAGATGCTTTACCAAATCTTTGGAGAATATCAGAGATACAGGAACATGAGTCCTTATCTGCTGTAAAGAAAAGCATTGCATCATCTGCAAAAAAGAGATGGGAAATCGAGGGTGATCTCCTCGACGCCTTTAACCCGCGTAGTTGGTTTATGTCCTCTGCCAGTGAGAGCATTCTTGAAAGGATATCCATACAAAAGATAAATAGGTACGGGGACAGAGGGTCCCCTTGCCGCAAACCACACTTGGGAGCAAAGTGGCCAGAAACCTTCCTGTTGATAACCGTTTTGAAGCTTACCGTTGAGACACATTGTGAGAGCATCCTTATCCAATGGCTAGAAAACCCATAGGCCCTAAGAGTCTTTATAAGGAACAACCAATCCACTCTATCATAAGCTTCAGACATGTCTATCTTAACTGCTGTGAAATTTGACCCCTTCTTTGAGTTGATCAAGTGCATCAGCTCGTGGCTCAGCATGATGTTGTCCTCCATGTGCCTCCCTGGTATAAAGGCGTGCTGATATTCTGAGATGAGGTTAGGGAGTACAGGCTTCAACCTATTAACCAGACACTTTGAAATACACTTGTAGATTGTGTTGCATAGGCTAATAGGCCTAAACTGATTTGCCAGTTCCGGAGCCTTTACCTTCGGAATCAGGATTAAAAGAGACTGGTTCCATTCCTTGAGCATATTTCCTGTCTTCAAGAACTGCTTTACACTATCCATCACTAGTGGACCTACATCTTCCCAAAATTTCTTGAAGAAGTTTACCGTTATCCCATCCGGCCCAGGCGACTTGGAGCAAGGAAGATCAAACATTGCTTTCTTTATCTCGAGGTCAGAAAATTCCTTGTTCAGCCAAATCTTGTTTTCTGCAGAGAGTTGGGGGATTTCGAGCTGATGGAGTAAGAGGTCTATTTCCTCCCCTTTATTGTCACCTCATTCGGATTATAAGTACTTTTGATGGATGATAAGATCATTTTCTCGATCTTGTTTAAGTCATCAACCCAAGCCCCGTTATCATCCTTCACCGAAAGAATTGTGTTTTTGAGCTTGTCGTTGTTTAACCTTCCTCTACATTACTGAAGTTGGACAATCCCCGAATCTAATCCCATTAGTCTTCATTCTCTGTCTCCAGAAAGCGTAACCCAGCTTGCTTTCTGGAATAATTGAATTAATACACTGAATGTAATTCTCTCCCTCCTGCAACGAGGTTATGTTTTCCCCTGAGACTTGGAGAAACTTTGTCATCTTTCTCCAATTAATACCCCAACTTTTCTTGTTAACCAGACACCATTGTTGCAGTCTCGATCGCACCCATTCTAGCTTCCTAGAAAGTTGAAACATGTGCGAGCCCTGAACTTCCTCCCTCCAAGAGTTTTGAACAATCCCTATAACGTCAGGAAAAGAGAGACACCAACTTTCAATTTGGTATGGTCTATTTGATGAAGTTGTTTTGGGGGTAGCATAGTAGGTAATTGCCGCATGGTCGGAGCATGCAATTGGTTCATGAATTACTTTCCCATTCGGTGAATGATTGAACCATTCTTCGGTAATGTAGGCTCGATCTAGACGTTCTAGAATGAGTTCACTTCCCTCTCTCATATTACTCCAAGTGAATCTTGGACCCGAGAAAGGCACCTCTGAAACATTGCTACTAAACCTCCAATCCAGAAAATCATCTAACCCTCTTATTCGGGTTGATCCTCCTAGTTTATCACTTCCGCTTTCTAGTTGATTGAAATCTCCTATAACTAATACATTTTTGAATTCTTCTAAGAACCATTGAAGTTGTTCCCATATCAATTTCCTATTTCCTACTTGAGGTTCTCCATAGAGGAAAAGCACATGCTTGATACTTCCATTAATAGCATAAATATTACATAAGATAAATTTTTTTGAGGAAAATAAACATTTTACTACATCATTAGACCATCCTAAAACAAGCAAACCACCACTACTTCCATTCGAATTCCAACCAAAAATGGAAGTAGGGTTTAAGAAACTAAGTTTAGCCGCCGCCGATACAAAATCCATCTTTGTTTCTGAGACAAATAAAAAGGAGGGTAACTTGGATCGGTAAAGCCACACAATATAAGGAATTGTAAGGGCGTGTGGATCATTCAAACCCCTACAATTCCATGCTACAACATTCATAATCCTCCCGAAGGCTGATTTGGAGCAGCCTTCTCATCTCCTAAAGCAAAACCCGAGAGCCCTAACTTGGTTGTCAGGGAATCAACTTCCATTTTGACACACAATTTCCCTTAACACCGAAGTAACCTCCTCACTTTTCTGTCTTTTGTATGAGCCTGAAGATGACGAAGATAACTCTTGTTCTCTTTTGTTACGACCCCTCATTCGAAGGTCGCCATCAACATCCACACTAAACTCTCTAGCCAAATTAACATCAGTTATAGCTTTTGAAGCAAATCAGCTCCCCCCCTCACTGTTACTAATCCAAATAGTAAAACCCCCTTTTTCAGACCACCTATGCAATCTTTTTACCCGTTTCCTTTCCACCCACTGAATATCAGTTTCATTATAACGGATTGAGTCTCCATCACAAGAATGAGGGAAATGACCAACAGCTTCTCTTATTCTCTTCCTGTTGTTAGCACTATCATCATAATTAAAAAGCTCAGTGAAATTAAACGAACTAAAATGTGATACCGGAGTATTAGGTGGATTGAATTCCGTTAGAGGGAGATTTGGCAAACCCCCTAAATCTGATGGAGACAGTTGTAAGTAAGGTGATGGGGTTGCCCTAGCTACTCGGCGCATCTCCTGAATTTCTGCTTTCCTTACTGATTTTGTTCCAAGAGCTAATATGGGGCTTGCCTCCATAATCCTTGTATACTTATCACCCTCCATCTGATTTTCCTTTTGTTCTCTCCAGCTTCCTTCCCCCCCCTCCGAGACCTCACGGTTGTTGCCTTGATTTCCAGCAATGACAGGCCCCTCACTCTCCCTTTCCTCGAAACCCAAAGCCCTTCCTGAGTTAAAAATGTTGCTAGACTCCACTTGCGCAAAAGCCACATCTGTTATTCCCAGAGTTTGAAACAAAGAACCTGGCATACCCCTTAGGTTTGGAGTTTGGTGTGCTCTTGATGACTCTCCAACTTCGAAATTCAAGCTCCTCACCACAGAAACCGAGGTGATCAGTTGCAGATCAAAGCCTTGATCCTTAGAAGCAATAGAAACGTGCCCTCTAGAAGCTAACGGCCTGACTGGCTCCAGGCCTACTCCCCCTCTTGCAAACTCCATGCTCCTCGCGTCCTCTTCGTTTTGATTTTGGGGTCTCACCCAACGTTCATTTTCATAAATCGTATGTGGCTGCCCCTCTTGAACCATTTCAGCATAAGGGTCTCCAATTAACCTAAATCGTCTTCCTGGAGATAAAGCTAAATTTGGTCTTACTTCTTCTTCATCCATCTCCCCTAGCCCCGAGTTCTCATTCGACCACTCCTCATTCCCTGTGTGGAACCCATCACTTCCATCATCATCATGGGAAGAGGAAAAGCTATCCTCTTGATTAATCCCCTCGACATCTCTATCATCCCTTAGATCAACCCTATTCACATCATTCCTCTCTTGATTTTCTTGCGAGCATAAATCCACTTCCGTATTACGGAAGCGATACCAGTCCGGTAGACCCCTGATCATATTTGAATAGAATGGATACTTAGTAGGGCCATATAGGACCCTCACACCATCTGCTTCAACCTCATCTAACCGACCCATATTACACGGTTCCCCTCCAAAGGTATGAAACAACCTGGAATAAGAGGAATAGATAAGTCAATTAGCATGCGTGCTCTTAATTATGCATGGGCTGGAAGCTCGCCTCCCTCATCTTCTATTTCTTCCAAGTAGCCTACATGACGAAGAATTCGGTTTGCCTAGCTTGAAGTTAGGTAAGCTAACGGTAGGCCATAAATTCTGACCCACATCCTGGTAAGCGAGAAATTTATCTGATGAGGTACATAATCCACCTGGTACCTTCTGAAATTGATAATTCTACCATCGAACATAGCCGAGCTAGTGCTAATAAGACCTTCTAGGTCATGAGCCTCCTTACATTCAAAGAGAAAGTAAGGTCCTGATTTAAAGACCCTTATATCCCCAGATTTTATCCAACGTTAGTTAACAATGTGCTGGATATAGTGCTCCGAAGGGGGGCTAGGTCCAATAAAAGAACCTATAACACAAGCATTAAAATTAATAGCTGAATTAGCTAGATTGAAGGGTTCTGGGGTTGGAATTAAAGGATCCCCCCTCATGTTTTGTATTTGGAAATTGTTATGAGGATACCTATTGTTGCTCATAATTGGTCAAGTGAACAAAGAGAACAAAGCAGATGGGATAAAAGACGAAAATAGAGGCTGAGTTAACTAAAGAAGATGGGAAGACCGAAAAGAAGAAAGAAGAATGAGAGTAAAGGATTGGATTAAAATGACTGAACTTCCTAGCATTTATAGTGTTGATACTGTTCTTGGAAGGCGAGGAGACTCATGCATGGGTAGCAAAACAGCTGCATTAAATGCCCTAAATGCATAGCCGCCTCTAGAATAAGCAGCCCTATTTTTTTGTGATTGGGTACAACACGCATGGGAAGTTGAGAAAATGGGATAACGAAGCGATTTTAGTATTCCAAAATCTGGAAAACTTAACTATCTACAAAAGGCTACAAGCTTTTTAAAGAAACAAGGAACAATTGCAGCTCCAAGGAAAGATTGTATTGAGGTGAGAGAAAACGGATAAATGTACCACAGGCATACGAAACACCTAGAGGATACCTTCAAACCTAGAAAAAAAGCTTAGGCTGTTGGGAATTCTTCCAGGAAAGAAGCAGAAAGCATGAACTCCTTGAAGGAGGCAACAAACCTTAGGGTTTTAACTCACGTTCTAGTAAGAGAAGCTCTCAAATCTTGAGAGAGAAAGTGGTAGTTTTTGCCAATAAGTATTTACTTTTGCTATTTATACAATTGTAGATAATAAAAACATTACAATAATACAAATTATCAAACTTAATGAAAACAAGAATTTCATCATATTATCATATTGATTGAGAGAATTTTAGAGAAGGAAACTTTTGGGATATTTTTCATTAAAGAAAGAATCTGAATATAGGAGAGTATTTATAGCCATATTACATCAGCAAATCTAGCTAAAATACATGCTGGAAAATAGTGTAGCTAATTCTGTTGTAACAGAAAATTACAAACATCTAGATAATTCTGTCATAACTGAATTTGTTATAACAGAATGATACAAGCTTCTAGAATAGCTAGGTTGGACAGCTGCTGGATTATTTTAGTAAAAGACCCTCTAATATGCTGGCAACTTGTATGACTTCATTCTCCTGGATTGAGCATGTAGTGGTTGTAAGAGCTTGTGATTTAATATCAGCAGTGGTAAAACCATTACCCCCCCTCAAGCTAGGGCTGGATGAGGCATCAGTAAGGCCTAGCTTGGACAGTAGAAGACGAAATTGAGGACCAGACAGAGCTTTGGTGAAAACATCTGTCAGTTGATGTGAAGTGGGAATGTAATGCAGCTTAAGTAAACCCTCAAGAACCTTGTCCCTAGTAAAATGGACATCGATTTCTATGTGTTTTGTCCGTTCATGATGGACTGGATTTTTGGTGATATGTATAGTAGACTGATGATCACAATAAAGAGAAACATGTTTCAACCTCTGAACACCAAGTTCTTCTAACAAACGCACTAGCCAAGTTATCTCAGAGGCTGCAGAGGACATGTCACGATATTCTGCCTCAGAAGAAGATTTGCTAACTGTCCCTTGTTTCTTGGATTTCCGAAAGATTGGAGAACCACCAAATAGAACAACATAGCCTATCACAGAACGTCTAGTAGATGGACAACCAGCCCAGTCTGAATCAGTGAAAGCTCTGAGGGAAAGAGAGTCAGAGGCTTTAAGTAGAATCCCTTGACCAATAGTCCCCGCCACATACTTTAAAACATGATGCAAGGCATGCATATGAGGAACTCGAGGTTGCTGCATGAATTGACTGAGAAGTTGCACTGAGAAAGCTAGATCAGGTCTGGTGTTAGTAAGGAAATTCAATTTACCAACAAGTGATCTGTAGAGAACAGGATCATGATAAAAATCTCCATCATCATGTGTGAGCTTGAGATTAATAGGAAGGGGAGTAGAGACCTTCTTGGAGACATCAAGGCTGCATGTTGATAATAACTCCTTAGTGAACTTCTTTTGAGTAAGGACTATGCCAGACTATAGGTGGGCAACTTCAATCCCTAGGAAATAATTCAAAATTCCTAGGTCTTTAATGCTAAAAGTAGCATCAAGATGAGCTTTGAGATGCATGATTTCGTCTGTATTGCTTCCTGTTAGAATTATGTCATCAACATAAACAGCCACCACAGTTGTATGACCATTTGATTTCTTCAGGAAGAGAGAGTAATCATTTTTGGATTGAACATATCCTTGCTTCAAGAGTTCAAAATGAAGTTTGGAAAACCATTGTCTTGAGGCTTGTTTAAGTCCATATAGAGACTTTTTCAGCATGCACACCTTGTTGCCTGAGTTAGGAATTCTTGGTGGCATTTTCATATACACCAACTCATCTAGATCCCCATGGAGGAAAGCATTGTTAATGTCCAGTTGGTGTAGAGGCCATTTGTAAGAAGCTGCCAGAGATAGAATACACCTAATAGTAGACATTTTGACAACTGGAGAGAAAGTCTCTTCATAATCAATGCCATGAACCTGTGTAAACCCCTTTGCCACCAACCTTGCTTTATATCTCTCTTTGGAACCATCTGCCTTGAGTTTCACTTTATAAATCCACTTGCATCCAATAGCTTTCTTTTTGGGAGGCAATTTAACTACTTCCCAAGTGTGGTTATCCTCTAGGGCCTTGATTTCTTTGTTCATAGTAGAAATCCAATTTTCATCTTGTGATGCTTCTTGAAAGGAGGCTGGTTCAGTGAACTGATTTTCCTTGCTTATAAATGCTTTGAATTGATGTGGGAGAGTTTCAAAAGAGACTAGATTACAAAAATGAGAATTAGTACTGTCAGAAACAGAAGAATAGCAGTGAAAATCTTTGCACCAGGCTGGTTTCTTAACTGGTCTGGTAGATTGTCTCACAGGAACAAGAATGGTATTTTCTTGTGGATTTGGTTGAATTTGTAAAGGTGGAGGATCTTGTATGGATTCATCAAGGGACTTTTGACCAGAATAAATGTCAGGTTCATCATAGAAGGAAGTATGTGGAGTGGTGGTTTTAGGTAGAAATATGGTAGGTGTTGCAGTGGGGTTGGGGCTTTGTAGATGAAAGGGGAAATGTGTTTCATGAAATATCACATCTCTGGAAATTTTAATTTTCCTTGTGTCCAGTTCCAGAACTCTATAACCCTTTTGGTGAAGAGGATAACCAATGAAAACAGCTGGAACAGCTCTGTCATCAAACTTGGTCCTGTGAACTTTACTGGTTGATACAAAGCATAAGCAACCAAAAGGCTTTAAATGATCAATTTTGGGGGCAGTATTGAACAACTTACTGTAAGGTGTAGCATAGTTTATACTCCTTAGAGGCATCCTGTTAATCAAGTAAGTAGCACAAAAGATTGATTCTCCCCAATAGCTCTTGGGTATTCTGGACTGAAAACATAGTGCTCGTCCTGTCTCAAGTAAGTGCTTATGCTTGCGTTCTACTACTCCATTTTGTTGTGGTGTGTCTGCACAACTTGTCTGATGTACTATCCCATTCCTTATGTAGAAATCTTTCATAGAGCCTTCTGTGAGCTCAAGGGCATTATCAGACCTCACACACAAAATGATTGCATTAAATTGTGTTTTGACATAGTGTGAAAAATTTTCTAACACACTTACAGCATCAGATTTGCACTTTAGTAAATGAACCCATGTGTATCTACTGAAATCATCAACTATTGTTAAAAATTGGTTGAAACCATTATAAGTAGACTCTTTGTATGGACCCCAAATGTCAACATGAATGAGTTCAAAGGGTTTTGTACTTCTTATTTCACTAATAGGAAAAGATAGTCTGTTTTGTTTTGCAGCAGGACATACTTTACAAAAAATGCTATTTGAGCAATCTTTTACATGCCAAGGCAGAATAAGCTTAAAGCTATGAAAAGGTAAATGGCCTAACCTAAGGAGCCACAATTCAACATCCTTAGTAGCTATGTTTCTAGTTTAATCCCAACTACAATTATTACAAGAATAAGCAAAATTCCTAACTAGTGATTAAGTACCCTGACTTTTGTTCCTCTAGACAATAGAGTCCACCATGCAATTTACCAAGAGGCAGAGCAGTCTTTGAAGGGGCCTGAATATAACAACCATGATGTGTGAATGAAACAACACTATTGAGATCTTTGCACAACTTAGGCACAAATATAAGATTAAAATGAAACAATGGAACATGCAGAACATCTTTGAGAAGAATTTTATTGTTCAAAGTAATATTCCCAATGTGCATAACCTTAATTTTGTTACCATTAGGTATAGTGATGGAGTTATTTGGACCATTAACAGGTTTATATGAATGAAACATGTTAAGATCATTGCATATATGGTCTGAAGCTCCACTATCTATAATCCACTTAGCACCAAAAGAAGCAGATAAGCAAAATTTACCTGCCAAGTTTGCTTGAGCATTTATGTCTGAAACACCTTCTTCTTGAGAAGATGAAGCAACATCAGTTTGTTTTCCAAGAAGTTCAAGCAACTGATTATACTGATTTATAGAGATCATTGGTGCAGAAACTTGATTTTCCTGATTCTGTCTGTAATCTTCCATCACAGTATCTTGCTGTGCAATAGCAGCTACACTCTTGTCCTTCTGCCACACATTGTGTTTGAAATTAGCTGGATAACCATGTAACTTCCAGCAATTATCAATGAAATGCCCTGGTCTGTCATAGTGATTGCAGAATTAAGAAGATCCTGGTCTGGAGTTAGTCTATGATCTGGTTCTGTAACTGGTATTTCTCTGAAACTGTTGATTTGGCTTCTTCCTTGCAGCAAACACCATTGACTCTTGATTACCTTTGCCATTCATATGCATTGTGCTCAGTTCCTTGTGTCTCTCCTCCCGGATCAAAAGCCTGTAAGCTTGTGATAGGTTAGGCAGGGGATTCATCATTAAAATATTGCCTCTCACACTAGTATAGTGTTCATTTAATTTCATCAGAAACTGCATCAATCGTTGCTCCTCTCTGAGCTTAAAAATTTTCTGAGTCAGGTTGCAAGTGCACTGATTACATGTGCATACAGGAAAAGGACTTGCTGCATTCAACTCATCCCATAGCATCTTCATTTTTGTGAAAAATGCAGCAATTGATTCTGTGTTCTGATTGACTTCTGAAAGTTGGCGTTCAAGAGAGTACAACTGAGGACCTGATGTAAAACCATATCTGTCTTCCAAATCCTTCCATATTTCTGCAGCAGAATTGAAATACAGAACGCTTCTAGCAATGATAGTATCAAGATTGTATAAGATCCATGAGATTATCATGTCATTGCACCTCTCCCAAGCCTAGTATGCCTCATGTGTGGGAGAAGGCTTTGGAATCATTCCATCCACGAATCCAAGCTTATTCTTAGAAGATAAGGCAATTGTCATACATCTCCTCCAGTCAGAATAACCTTCACCATTGAATTTGGTGGAAACTAACTGAAGAGAGTTCATGTCTGAAGGATGAATGTAAAAAACACTAGTTGGATCTTGATTAGGTGTAACAGATGAGCTTGAAGTGGCAGCCATGATTGAAGAGATGAAAAAATATAGTAGACGAAGGAGATTGAAACAAAAATTCTACTAGATTTTGATCAGATAAGCAGAAGAAGATGATTAACCAAAAATCGCCAGAAATATGAGAATCTTCAAAAAAAATTGAATGAGGAATCTGAGATCTAATTGCCAGAAATTCAAGTGCCTTAAGAAAAATTTTACAGCGTAAAATACAGAATCAGGAACAAGATGAATTTGACTTGATTTGATTTGATCTTCAAAAACAACTGAAGATTATCTTGCGGAAGCTAACGAAATGGTTGCTCTAATACCATAATGAAAACAAGAATTTCATCATATTATCATATTGATTGAGAGAATTTTGGAGAGGGAAAATTTTGGAATATTTTTCATTAAAGAAAGAATCTGAATATAGGAGAGTATTTATAGCCATATTACATCAGCAAATCTAGCTAAAATACACGCTGGAAAATAGTGTAGCTAATTCTGTTGTAACAGAAAATTACAAACATCTAGAGAATTCTGTTATAACTGAATTTGTTATAACAGAATGATACAAGCTTCTAGAATAGCTAGGTTGGACAGCTGCTGGATTATTTTAGTAAAAGACCCTCTAATATGCTGGCAACTTGTATGACTTCATTCTCCTGGATTGAGCATGCAGTGGCTGTAAGAGCTTGTGATTTAATATCAGCAGTGGTAAAACCATTAAACTTAAATTAATTACTAGGAGCTATTTCTCGAGTTGCCATCCTTTTAAAGAATTTTCTGGACAAGGGAATAAAAGATGCTAATAAACAAATACTAGTTGCTGCTCCTGAAACGTAGAACAGAACTTGAAAGCTTTCTATGCTTAAACTGCTTTGTTTACCATCATTACTGTTATCAGAGTCTTCGGCAGTACTGGTGCAATCGCTACATATATTTAAGTAAGTTTTCTCCAGTTGTTTGAGATGATTAAGTTCTGTAAGGTTTAGTATAGCCTTAGAAACATCATCTGTAATTGGAGAACCCTTGGGAAAAACCTGCAATTTTAATAAGCAAAATGTAAGAAATTTCATATTTGTCAGTTGCGTTCCTAGAAGAGAGAGCTCAATCATATGCCATGGATTGACAGATCGATATTCTTCGTTTGATACACTTTAGTGGTACGTACATTATTTATACTATATTGAGATGTTCAGAATAAACTGTTATATTTCCTAGACTATAAATAATTTTAAACTGCATGTGATTTTCAATCATACTTCCACTTTACTCCTAATAATATTTCAAGTTCTTAAAAACATCGTATGGAGTATTCTTTATGTTGATCCATAGAGTCTAACATACTTAAACTATAAAATGATGTTTTCAACGATTATTTCTATATTGGTAAAAAAGGCCTTAATGGGTCTAAATTTCTCACAGGCTGGTAAGCGAGCTGCTCACTTTTGGGATCAGTGGAGATAGAGTAAGGGGATCTCCTCCCCGAAAGTGAGTGCCCCTAGTGGGATTAGACCTCTTAAAGTGCTCTTCTTTCTACTAGCTTAGGTTGGCCAAGTATTTATAGGCTAGAACATGAAAGTGGGTTAGAAGAGCATGATATTGTCACCTCCAAGTATTGTAGTTTAGACGACTAAACTTTGTGATCTCAATGTTACAAGATGAATCCCTAACATACTACACATCAAAGCTTTGCTGGATAATTTTTCATCAAATTAGGTGTGGGTAAAAACTTCCATGCGAAAGGCTTATTGTATATTTGATTAGTTACTTCAATTCACATAAAGAATGAATTTAACTTTTTAACAGATTTGACATGATTAAACCTTGTTGTATGTACACCATAAACTTCCTTGACATAGAGGTGTCAAAATCTTATTTGACAAACTCGATTCGAAACCTACCCAAAATATATTAATCTTAGATATTGACTCAAATATAAAATAGACCCGATTCGACATCACCAAACTCAATCCGAACACCCGAAATAACACCTCTATTAATAGACAAGTTAAATTCTCATGTGTAATAATATATTGAAGTAATTCATGTATGTAACAGAGTAAATTGCATAGAAACTTACAAATCCGAAGCCGCCAAATCTGTGGATTGGATTGGTCATAATGTATTCATTGCAAAACTTTGTGACAAAGAGCTGCGCATAAGGGTACTCAAGGCATGCTGCTGAAATGTTTCTTGCTTGCAATTCCATGTGAATATCCTCAAACTTTGCTTCCATGGGAATTATGTTTGTAGAATTAAACTTAAGCAGATCTTGCAAAAATGTGTTTACAAATGATGATTTATCATAACCAACTTTAGCATTGGTTCTTTGCAGCATCTCAACGTCGATTGATGTCCGATTGAGTCGATCGTTAGTGATCATGGAGGTGAGATTGGCAGTATAACTTGAGGTCAATATCATTATCATGAAAAACCACATTATCACCACCACTCTTGCTAGTTTGGAGGAAATTTCCTCCCCTACCAACACATAATTGTTATAAGTATCTAGGCATATACGCCGTAATTTGCAATAAATGAGTTATGCCCTGTTCTTTTGAACTTCTGACAGAGCAGAGTAGATTTCAGCCCACAACAGCTCAAAAGAATAGGGTCTTATTGATAGAGTATATAAAAACCAATCTTGGGCTTTATTACATAAAAATTAATAAATAAATAAATAACAACCCACGCTTCAACTTTTGCTAGTTTAAGCTGATGTTTGAAGCCCAAATTTGGTTTTTATACTCTATCCGTATCAATAAAATTGAACAAATAAAGGGAGAAATTTCGGTAGTATTAAGATGGGAAAGAGGAAAGAAAATCCTAAGGGAAGAAATAAGAACATTGTGCCTGAGCAACCCAAAGGAGGGGGAGGAGAGTTCGGTCCACTTAGAGCAAATTAGAGAGAATTGATGGTAAACCAAGCTATTGCACAAAGCTGATTTGTCCATGTTCCTCTGAACTCGGGGTTGTTTCCACGCTCCAAAGCCCATATGATAATCATATTGTACACGAATATGAAGAACGTTACTAGCCACATTTTCGACGTGAAGGGCTTCAAAAATATCCAAGGACCGTGAGAATTGTAAGATTTGGATGCAGGCCGAATGATGGATAATCCTGATTCTTCAAATGGAAGAGTGAAATCTACAAGTTCCATTCGCCTTCCTAATATTGTTATATCACCAATTGCAGCATCAAAACACTGCAAAAAAAAAAAAAACATTTTATTAAAAAAATTGACTTCCATTTTACTACAATTTTTTCCAATTGGAGAAAAAAAATAAGTTACCTTGTTATGCACAAGTTTAATAAGATTATCAAATGAGCCATTGTATGGAATGAACACATGAGGTAGTCTATAATCCAAGTTTTGTTGCACCTCATCGAAAAGACGAACACTTAAGCCACTAAAATTTGTATTATGGAGTGAATTCGGAACATGTCTTGTTAAACAAAAATCGCCATCAAGAGCTCTACTCCCATTATAACTGATGTAGTTATAGTAATTATGAGCAATCGGAACTCCAATTCTCATAGGTTTTGAGCTTGTTGGCATCGCCCATCCCTTTGGAATGGCACCCGTCAAGTCCCCTGGCCATTTTATTACACTTGCTAGTGTTTTCGCGGTATCCTCATCCTCAATATCATCACTACTAAAATCCAATACTTCTTGGTAATTTGAACTAGCAATGTTCACTAGTCTTGTGCTAGTATTCACTACTAGATCATGATGCTTTTAGTCGAAGATAACTATACCACTTAACCCGATAAGGCATGTGAAATGTAAGAAAAATATACAAAGGCTTAGACATAAAGTATATATACATGTAAATTTATAGTGTTGATATTATAAGAACAAGCAAGGAAAAAGTATATATCTATAGTAGATGTATAATATTAATTACCTGAAAAATTACTTCGTAAAATTTCGTTGAGGAAGCTCTTAGATGTAACAATATGATCACCAATGTTGTTACTAAGGCTTTGCTTAGCCTTGATAATTGTTGTGATAGCATCATATGCAATTAGATTTTGAGAACTCGGCTCATAATACCGTTCTTTTTCAAATGCTTGAAGAAATTTGATCCCAAATTTTGCATCAAATACTTCAAAACCCTTTGTAGAGTTATCAAACTTGGCCATAATTCCTATAGCACCTTCCATATTTAACATGGTAGAGTTGTCCAATGAGGGAAGAAAACTAGTAATAGCTTCCGAAAGTATCCAAGCCGAGTCATTCCTCATTAGTCCATTCCCTTTTGCTTCCTCAAACAAAAGGCTAACATAAGGAAGTGATACTCTAAGAACAATGAAAACCCTTGAATAAAATCTTCCATTGGCAAACTTTAATAATTCTTCGCTTATAGTACCTCTAGGATCGGTAATTGATCCAAGTGGTGGAAGAACAAGGTGGTGTTCGATTTGAGATCCGATGTTTTGGAGGTATGTAGTGAGAAGAGAGATTGTGCCACAATTACCACAACTCGTGGTAACGTGGTCTTCATACACTACAATGACCCTACGCCAAAGGTAGCTATGAATGATGGATGCTATGTTTTGGACTTGTTGAGTCGCGTTATGAGACATTTAGACTAGGAATGGCCATTGGAGTGACGCGGATGGTGAGGTGATAGGAGGTGATGCAGCAAGTGAGAGAACTGGTACTTGAGCTAGACTTCCAATTTTTGCTACTAATGTTGTAGTTTGCCAATCTTCTATGCCTACTATTATAGCTTCCACTTTCTTCTCCTTGATTAGTGCTTCAGCTGCAAGAGTTTTTCTAGTGTTAAATAAGAAGATATACTCGTAGTATATAACATTTAACTTATCAAGTTTCAAATTTGGAATAATAATGATAGTCATACATCACAAAAGTTATTCTATGTTTACTATTGCGATTGATTATGTTGGTACGGAAGAATATATAAATAGTGTATAAGATATATAGTGAACAAATTAAAAAAAGATCATTTAGTTTTTAAATTAATTTTAAAAATAAAAACTGATAAAGAAAAGGTCATTAGACTCATTACTTATTTTTAAAAGTATATTATTTCACATTTTCTTTTCTATTATTACCCTGTATTAATTTAAACATTTTCCACCCAATATAAATAGCTAAAAATCAAATTGTTTAGATAAGTATTACATAAACCCTTTCATATTCACTCCACCTCGGGCCAATTCTTCCTTCTATTTTTCATGTTTTTCCGCTTTTTTTAAATGGACAAATTTTGTGGCAAAATCATGATAAATGAAATTATGGGAACAAATTAAAGGGAAGAACAAATATAGCGAAGAGGGTGCCCCCATTACTCACTGTGAGAAACATTTTTGTTTCTCACAGTGGCAGTTTCGTAAATAAAATGTACCACATTAGTCAACGCCCCCATTAACAGAGATTTACTGTATAACGAATAATATATAGGTAACCTTTTGGTTCCATAATTAGCAAAAACCATAGAAACAAGAAAATTGACAACTCGAGTGATTTAGCATCTACTGATGTTACTTAATTCAAAGGTAATATAAGGGGCCACTTTCCTGAACATGAATAGTGAGGACGCATATAATTTGTCATAGTAAGACATAACGGTCCCTTGAAAAGTGGAGAATGAACCAGTTTTCAAGGAAGGTCAAAAACATGGAATGAGACAGTTTTCAGGAAGCAACACGTACGGCAATTTTCATGTTCACGAAACAAAGTAAAGTTCTAGTACATGAAAGGCTATAGATCAGGAAGCAACCAACCTTCAAAAGCAGTTTGAAGCGGCCTTTGGTTGTAATCTATCAAATGAAGAGAAATCTTTGCATCTTCAACCGCGATTTCTATGGCTGTTTTCTGTTCTTTACCCATACGAGAATCCAAGTCGAGTATTGCACCAATTTTTTGTTGTTACACCATCATCACCTGCAATGGAGGTTAGTCCTTCAACCAAGAATATTATACAAAAGAAGAGTACAAGGGGGTGAGGTTTCGGCTTCATGAACACGAAAATTTTCGAATCCATTGAGGTTGGTGTGATATGATCTTGTGATGCTCATTCCTCCAGGTTAATTATATAGATTATCGTCGTATGCAGTGGTCCATTTCTTTGACTCTTCCCATTCCTTACGTAGAAATAATTATGGGTAAGAGTTTAGAATTTTCCTTCAGCTGGAATAATTATTTATACATTCATTAATACAATACATTCATACTACGTACATTTTTGAAATTTTTAATGATATTATAACGTGTTGGATGAAAATGTATATGAACTTCTATTGTTTTTCAAATTTAGATCTTATATACTTCCTTCGTTTTCTTTTACTTGCAACATATTGCATCCATTATGCATGCACTTTTAGGAGGTGATTAATGAAGGGGTAAACGAACAATTTTTTCAAAAATTCCGAAATTAGAGAAGGGTTAGTACTATGTGTAAAAATTTTAACACAAGGTTTTTTTAACAATTAAATTATTTAGAAATAATTTTAAAAAAACAACTAAGTCCGCCTCCCCTAGGCCACTAGCCAACCACCCCCTCCCCCGCTAGTAACCCAGCCCCACCCCATCGCCGAGCACCCAAGCACCTCCCTTCCCCCACCCCCACCCCCCACCCGCCACCCACATAACTCCTCCTCTCATTTGCGTCAATAAATGACAACCACCACAACACCGTACAATTGATCTCCAACATATCCATAAAAAAATTATAAATAAATAAAACATTATTTCGAAATCAGGCAAAAAATTGCTCCTACAGTCAATATAGATGGCTGGGAAAAACCCCTGTGCCATCACTTGCATCTTAACCCTTGGAAATACCAAAGGGGAAACGATTTAAGATTAAAACAAAAGAAAACAAAGAAAAACAAATAAGAATGTTAAACCCCCTATAAGTAATCCATGAATAAGTAACTCCTACTAGTAATTTCTAAGTAAGTTTTCCCTATAAGTAACCCTTAAATAAATAATTCATACAAGTAACCCCTGAATAAGTAAGCGGTAAAAGTAACTCTATTCACATAGAAAAGTTGTAAAATAACTAATTATGCAATAAGCTTATAAAATTAGCAACCGCTAGGGATCTAAGAAATCGTACTCATATGTGTTTAGTCGCGTCGTCCCCAAAATTCTGTTATCATATATGCATATGTAGTCCTGTAGATAGGTGCTCGCAGTTATTAATTTGTTTGATAACTTCTCATCAGACGTGTTGAAAAGAATAATACTCGTAATAAGAAGACGTGTTGAAAAGGAAAACTAAACCCATGTCCTTCTCTGTAATTAAGACATACTAGTATAAGCCAAATCGATTTTTTTATTGATTAAACTATACAAATATTACACTTTTATTTACTCCATGTTTTTTTATATTCTATGAACTTCATAAACTAGCCCAAATACAGAGAATATACTTCATTCGTGATTTTTTGAGTAGTGTTATACTTTAAGTGACACATAATTTTGGACAATTAAACTAACTTTTTTAAAAAAAAATATAAAAAAAAAAAGGTAATAAGTGAGGTAGTTGAAGAATTAAAAAAAAGGCTAGTGAGATTAGCTTATTGAAAAGTAATCAATATGAGAGAAAAGAAATAAAAGTAGTAGTGATTTTTGGTGGGGATTATAATAAGAGAAAGTTATAATATTAAAATGTAGCTTATTGCCAAAAACAAGGAATTGTAAAACTTACAAAAACATGAATGCATTCGATTAGTGTAACACTTTAAAAAACACGGAGTATATATATACTTCCTCCGTCCTTATATAAAAGGTTTCATTTTACTTAAAAACTTAGTCTTTAAATCGAAGTCTCAGTTCTTATGGATCTATATTAGTCTCTAAATAGAAGATTCATGTCTTATTGATCTATATTGATTTATTATTTTTATTTGCTTTAAATCAACTACCCCTTTATCTCAACTATTTTCTTTATTTTTTAATGAATAATTTCAATCATTTATATCTTAATTTATGCATTTTCAAAAATGAATCTGACAAGATCAAATATGATATATATATATATATATATATATATATATATATATATATATATATATATATATTTCTTTGAATAAAAATCAAGATATGTTAATAAATTGAAATTGAGTATATATATGAATAACACTATTGAAATGTTGCATAAAAATACGTATACCCTTATAATAATCTTCTCATATACTTCATTCGTTTTTCTTAATTACACCATATGTTCTTTCTCCCTATTCACTTATTCCTTTTTGACCATCTTTTGTGTTTTATACATAAGAAAATAAGATCTTATTAGATTCGTTTTGAATTATATTTTTCAAATATAAAATTTCTATAATTTTTACTAAAGCCAAATTAAAAACATTAAAGTCTAAAGTTTTGCATTGGTACGCTAGCGTGAAACACCAAATGATGGTACAATAATAATTAAGTAAACAAAGAAACTAGGCTCCGTTTGTTTTGACGGAAAACAAATCTAATGGAAAATGAATTTCCATGAAAATCCATGAATTTCCATGAATTTGATTTTCTGGAGGAAAATCCATTTTCCTTTGTTTGTTTTGTAAGGAAATTTATTTTCCAAGAATCCCATTTTCCTTTGTTTGTTTGGAAATTCATTTTCCATGAATCCCATTTTTCTTTGTTTGTTTGGAAATTTATTTTCCTTTTAAAACAATTTTCCTTTTGTTACTTAATATTGTTTGTGAACCTAATTGTTTTTAAATTTGAACCTAATTAATTTGATACATGAATAAATAACAATCTTGAAACTTTTATTAATTAAAAGTATATGATTCGGGCTTGTTCGAATCACTATTCCAGATAAAATTAGCAGATGAGGTAAACAGACTTTCTGTTATAGTCGTAAATTAAGCCAAGCCCGACCCTCGACTGTAAGTCAAGAAGAGAACATGAAAAACACCCTTGTAAATGATTTAAAAGCTAAAATTCTATAGTTCTTCATATTTGATCTAAAAATGTTAACCACTTTGAACTAATAATAAAAAAATTTTGCTAATACCCAAGAATACAAATATCCAAGCCAAACAAACAGCAAAAAAAATAAGAAAAGAAAAACGGTTGTAGAAAGGACAGGGGCAGACAAAGCAGCATATACCAGCCAACAACAAACCAGGGAGCAGGAGATCGAAGCAGCTTTCAGCAGCCTGAAGCAGCAACATAAACACCAGGCATCAACAAGGCAGCAGCATAGCAGTTATAGCAGAACAGCAACAGGAAGCAGGAAACAAAAGGCAAAGCAGAATGCACCAAAACCAAGCAGCAGATTGCAACCAGAGTAATAACCTTGAAGATAGCAAGAGCAAACTACCAGAAATTGGAGTGAAAGCAGCAAGCAGACTTTAATGTTTATGGTCTTTGACAAACTTTTCGATCCAAAGTTTGCATAGTGGCAAGCTTTTTGTCAAAAATGCTTTTGCAAGCATTTCACGCTCCACCAAGTGATCAAAAGCCGCAACACGCACCCCTTCTTCAATGTCCTCCATCTTTATAATTTCGTCATAAAGCTTCTCCACATCAAGTTGATTGTTTGTAAATTTTTTGAAATCACTAACCACTTCTTGAAGTTGTGCTGAAATGTGTTCCATTTCCGATCCTTCGTCAATTCGAGACCTCTTTCGATGTGGCCTTGAGCCCGACGAGGTACCACTCTCAGCCTTGGAAGGCACGCTATCAATAGTCATACTTGGTTGTCCACTTTCCATTGAAGCATCAACATCGATGTCGGCAAATGTGTTCCCCCG